TTTGCTGCAGAGAATTGCTGTGTGATACCCTGAGTTTCATAGAACTCAGCAAGAGACTGGTTCTTGAACTCGGTACCATTATCTGTTCTGATGATCTCGACACTCTTTTGTAGAAAATTTTGGATTGTCCTGATGAAGGTTATGATGGTTGCAGCTGTTTCATCCTTTGTCCTCAGAAATTTGGTCCATGTGTACCGAGAGAAGTCATCCACAATGACCAGTGTATATTTGCGTCCATTGATGCTTTGAACTCTCATTGGTCCACACAGATCCATGTGAAGTAGTTGCAGCAGTCGGGAGGAGGATGGAACAGGTTTTAACTTGTGAGAGCTCCTTTTCATCTTGCCTAGTCTGCAGGCATCACAATGAGTGACAGCGGAAGTCTTCAGAGGAGGCAGCCCTTTTACAAGTTTCTTGGAGGACAAAGTAGTGAGATATTTGAAGTTGAGGTGAGACAGGCGTCTGTGCCATAGACTGTTTTGTTCATAGGTAGCTTTGGACAGCAGGCAGATGGAAGAAGGTAGTTGTACGCTCTTCAGATCAATGGTGTACAGGTTGGAAGTTCTTGTGCAGGTCAATAATACCTTCCCAAACCTGTCCAGCACACAACATTGTCTGGCTATGAACTTCACTTCCATGCCACTATCGCAGAACTGTCCAATGCTTAGCAGATTATGCTTCAGTCCTTTCACATATGACACAGCCTTGATGGTGACACTTGCACAGATGACATCCCCATATCCTAGGATTGGAGAAGCCGCGTTGTTTCCAAATCTCACATTTCCTCCGTAGCATTTGGTGTAGTTGCTCAACAGTTCTTTTATTCCGGTCATGTGGGTTGAGCAGCCTGAATCTAAGTGCCACACATGACCGTCCTGCAAAACAGATTAAGGACTTTTAGGTACCCACCGCAGGATGGGTCCTTCCTTATCAATTGAGAATATCTTTTTGAATTTTTCTTTCAGCTGTGATCCACGGTCAACAGCCTTTTCAGATAATGTTCTTTGTTTTTCAAGTTCAGTTTTTGGTATCCATTTTTGTTTGATTTTAGGAGCGGAGGAGACAGAGTCATTGTTTCTATGTGTGAATGGCTGGTTCGTGAGATAAGGTTTGAAAATTTCTTCTTTAGAGAGACGTTGTAAATGTTTCTTCGAATGAACTCTAAGAGGATATCTTAAATTTGGAAGATTATAGGTACCCTCTACAGTTCTATTCTCAGACTGTTTTCTTTGTTTGCGCTCTCCTTTTTCTTTCTCACATACAGCATTTACATCATGATCAGAACCAAAAGTATCATTGCACGGATTCACAAACCCAGAAGTAAACAACTTTTCATTGAGAATGAAAGTATCAGATTTAAACTTAGAATGATTCAGCTTGGGACACAAGACTGAACTGGAACTGCATGACTGTGACATAGAACTAGATCTACGCTTATTTGAATAGAAAACAGCATTTGAACACGTCTTTTTATTCTCAGAAAACATCTTCTTCTTTCCTTCAGCAATCTCCTCTCTCTTCAACTTCCACTCCCTTCTTCTCTCCAATCTCCTACTTACTTCTCTTCCTGCTTTCAAGGGAGATTCAGGGTGAGTGATTGTCTTTTGGAAAAATTTAGATTTGTTCAAATTTCTTTGAGAAGCATCAGTATCACTAGATGATTGGGAAGTCGTGCCAGATTGAGAACTCTCTTTTAAGATTGTCAGTTCCTTCAACAACTTTTCCCTCTCACTTTCAAAACCTTTTCTTTCTTCTTCAAAACTCTTTCTTTGATTTTCTAAAGAGATGTGTAGATTTTCAAATTTCCTGATTAGTGGAGGGATGTAGGGTTCTTCTCCACTTGAACCTGAGGTTGAAGGGGGTTCAGAGTCTGACACAACTTCCTTCTCAGAAGGATAGAGACTCACACTCTCATCAGTTGACAAAACAGGTTCAGCGTTTTCATAGCTTTTGTTCAGGGAATCATAACTGAAAGGAATTTCGGCTTTTGATGGATTTGACCGCTTTATCTCTTCTTCTTCAGCGGTTTCTTTTCCGTAGGTAAAAGCCATCAACTTGGTCAATCCTAACCCCATGTACTTTATGTTGTAAAGTTGAAGACAATCAATCTTTTTCAGATTGTTGGGATTAGTGAAGCCAAGACCTTCCTTTGAGTTATAAAACCGAGTGTCCCTGTTTTGGTTTAAGAAAATTGTTTGTTCAGTTTGTCCTCTTTTGACCAGCAGGTCTTCTAATTCTTTGATTTTTGTGTAAAGAGCACATCTTTGTTTGCGTAGAAAATCATTTTCTGCTTTCGCAACATTTCGTTCGAGTTCTGTGTCACTGACCTTCTTAGTTAGTTCAGTTAATTTTTGTGTAAGCTTCTCTGCTTCTAAATTTTGTTTCTGAACTCTTTCTTTCTCATTTTCTAGTTGCAACTTCAGAGAGTGACTCTTATCTAGAGTGTCAAGTGCAACTTTGTAGTTATGATCTAACCTGCCCTTTAACTCCTTTATGGTGTTATCCTTTTCTTGTGAGGAATGAACTTTGCAAGTACAGGAGCAAGAAGGTTCAGAAGTACTTACAGTGGTGTTTGAGCTTGAACTTTGACCTCTTCCGGGGATCGCAGCATCACCCTTGTCTTTTCCTTCTTCTTCTACAAACGCCATCAGGGCCAGATTCTCTTCTTCTTCATCATCGGAACTCTCCTCCTGCCATGGATCATTCTCAGTAGGAGTTGCAGCACTATCATCATCTTGCTTGGCCATGAACATCTTCTGCTTGTTCCACAACATCTTTTGCTTGTAATAGTTGAAGTCCCTCTTCTTTGGTAAGCGACAGTCCTTGATAACATGTCCAGCTTTTCCACAGTTAAAGCATTTGAGGGGGTCTTCGGCTGCAACTACTCTACTAGAAGAGTTTTGATCATTGGTTTTTGTTTTGTAGTTGGCTGAGGAGGTTCGGAGCTTGTTTGATGAACTTCCTTTCTTGGCAAACCTTTTGTTGAACTGATTGGTAAGTAGTGCCATCTTCTTCTGTAGATCGGCCAGCTCGGATTCAACATCCATTTCTTCTTCACTCTCTTCTTCTTCTGACTCTATCTTGACTGCCTTCTTCTTCTTCGGACCCTTAGATGAACTCTTTGATTTAGCTTCAATCATTAGTGCTAGAGGATTAGCGGAGAAGCTTCCTTCCATCTCAGCAGTGTCATTAACAAACTGCTGCAGATGTTCATGGACAGTGCAGAGGTCAAGTTCATCCAAGTCTAGGTGCTGTCGTAGATTCTTGACAGTTCTTCTCCATTCTGGCGGCAGGCTCGACAAGAAACGTATGTTCATTTCCATATTAGATTTGACAACTTTGATCTTCCTCATCTCATTGATCAGTTGTACGAATCTGTTATACGTCTCATGGAGCGCCTCACCAGGTAGGGCTTTAAAAGCGTCATAGGCGGTCAAGATGTTCGCTTTCTTTGTCTTCAAACCAAGATCAGTTCCAATCATTAACTTCTTCACCTCATCCCACATTTCCTTTGCTGTCTCCATGCTGTCTATCAGAATGTAGATATCATTGGGGATAGCCTGCAGCAGGTAAGTTTTTGCCATGAGATCAGCTTTGATTCTCAACTTGTCAGCCTCAGTGTATTCGCCTTTTGTCTTCAATCTTTTCACATAGTTGACAGGGGGGTTGTTTACATCTGAGGTATCTACTTCAGTATAGATCTCAGCAGGACCTTGTGTAAGTGATTCAAGCATGGCAGATGAATTGTCTTTCCCTTCCAGAAAGTTCAAGAATCTTGTCTTCCACATCTGATATTTTCCTTTTCTGAGGATGGGTGGTCTGTTGTCATTTCCAAGTGCTAATGCTTCCATCTTTGCTGATTGAGCCTTAACAGATCGGTCGAGTGTTTTGATCAGAAAAAAATTTAAGATGCAGAATGTCGAAAACCTAATTCAAGAAAAAAATTCGAAAACTAGGGTTCGAGAAGTTCTATCGAGAACCAGTTTTCGATAGTGAATATCGAGAAACTGTTTATCGAGAAGCAGGATTCGAGAAGCTGTATCGAGAACTTCAGTATCGAGAAGCTAAGTTCGAGAACTTAGTTTCGAGAACTGAGTGTCGAGAAGCTGTATCGAGAACCTGCAATTCGAAAAAAACAGAGTTTTAGATATTTAGTATCGAAAACTGAGTGTCGAGAAAGCAATCTCGAGAACTCAGTTCGAGAACTTGTATCGAGAACGTAGTATCGAAATCCTGCAAATCAAAATTTCAGATTAAAACAGTTTAAACAACTTTTCTGTGAAGTTTTCGATCTCGAGAGTCTTCCTGTATAGTTATCGTCCTGAAAAACCTGCTTAAATGTCGAGAACCCTGCTTTTCGAACTCATACTATCGAGAAATCAAAAATACCGAATCTACTGAAATCGAAAAGTAAGATATACCCTTGGTTCGTTTCTGAATGGCGAATCCAATGATATAACTTTTACAGTTTATCGATCAGAAACAAGATTACAGTGATTACAAAGAAATATATCGAAAAGTATGAAAACAGAGAAACTTCGAAAACTTTTCTTCGACGATCACACTCGAGCAGGATCTGATACCAGTTGTTGGTCCCAATTCAGCAGACTAACGATCAGCTAGATGAGCATCATCGATAGACAGAAGAGAAAGATTTCATATAATGATATAAGCTTTATCGAGAACAGTGAAACCTTCTTTCTGTAGTATCGAGAAGTAAATTTGGCAGCGTAAGGCTAATGTGTATTGATCGATATCGGTACCTGTACACAAGGCGCGTATTTATAGGCCCTGTACAGGTTACCGATTTAGGTAAACCTTGGAAGTTGGGCCAAGGCCTTTTTGGGCCTTATTCCCTTTACCTTATTTGCTACATAATAAATACTAATCTAATACCATAAATGGTATAACTAGTCTACTTTATTTAAACAAGACATTACAGACAAACTTGACCCACAATAAAAGTTCTAACATGAACACTTAGTGATAGATTATATTATTAAGAGTGTGATAATGGTGTTGTAATGGTGTTGTAATGGTGTGTTAATTACAATGGAGAAGCCTCCTATTTATAGGAGAAAAACTAAGCTTCATATTAGAGGATAATTGTGAACCACACAATTATCATCTAGAATCATAATTATGATTTCCTGATTATTTATATAATGATGATAATAATTCCTAATCAGGAATAGTTGGAAGATGACTAATTCAATAATATTTCAACACTCCCCCTTGAATGGTCATCTTCTAATTATTCTGGGGTATTAGTTTCATAGTATTATAATGTACTGTCTCGTTAAAAACCTTTGTCAAGAAAAACTCAGTGAGATAAAAACCTGACGAAGGGAAAAAGAGTGCAGTGCATTATATTACTCCCCCTCAATTTAACATATATCTCGAAGACGATACATTCCAATTTTATGGACCAGTTCTTCAAATTTCTTCGGTGCCAATGACTTTGTGAACAAATCAGCAGGGTTGTCGCATGACTTGATTTGTTTGACATCAACCGTTCTGTTATTCTCAAGATCATGTGTGGAGAAAAGTTTTGGTGCTATATGCTTTGTTTTGTCCCCTTTGATGTAACCTCCTTTGATCTGAGCTATACATGCTGTATTATCTTCATAAATCACAGTAGGATTAGAAGTAAAAGATTTTATACCGCATTCATTTTGTATGTGCTGGATCATTGATCTCAACCAGACACACTCACGACCTGCTTCATAAAGAGCAATTAATTCTGCATGATTTGATGATGTTGCAGTTAATGTTTGCTTCATTGATCTCCATGATATAGCGGTATCACCATAGGTGAATAAATATCCTGTTTGTGATTTTGCCTTTTGTGGATCAGACAAGTATCCTGCATCCGCGTAGCCAATTAAAGTGGCATTTGCACCATTCTTGAAATACAATCCAAGATCGATTGTACCATTGAGATATCAGAATATATGTTTGGCACCATTCCAATGCCTTCTTGTTGGGGAAGAACTGTACCTGGCTAATAAATTTACAGAAAAAGCAATATCTGGTCGAGTATTATTAGCCAAATACATTAATGCTCCAATAGCACTCAAATATGGTATTTCGGGACCAAGGATTTCTTCATCATCTTCACAAGGTCGGAAAGGATCATCATGCACATTGAGAGATCGAACCACCATTGGAGAATTGAGCGGATGTGCTTTATCCATGTAAAATCGCTTCAAAAGTTTCTCGGTATAATTTGATTGGTGGATAAAAATACCATTTCTCAAATGTTCAATTTGAATACCGAGACAAAATTTTGTTCTCCCAAGGTCTTTCATTTCAAATTCTTTCATGAGATATTTTGCAGTATTTTCAATTTCATTAGGAGTTCCGATTATATTCAAATCATCAACATATACTGCAATTATGGCGAATCCTGATTCGGATCGCTGAATGAAAACACATGGACTAATAGGATCATTTTTATACCCTTCTTTAATCAAATATTCACTGAGACGGTTATACCACATGCGTCCAGATTGTTTTAATCCATATAATGACTTTTGCAATTTTATGGAAAATAAATCTCGAGATTTCGAGCTATAAGCATCAGGTATTTTAAAGCCTCCAGGAATTCTCATATATATGTCTGTATCGAGTGAACTGTATAAATATGCGGTCACCACATCCATGAGGCGCATTTGCAGCCTTTCAAAAACAGACATGCTAATTAAAAATCTTAAAGTTGTAGCATCAACTACTGGAGAATACGTCTCATCATAATCGATTCCTGGCATTTGAGAAAAACCTTGGGCAACAAGTCGGGCTTTGTATCTAACGATTTCATTTTTCTCGTTGCGTTTACGCACAAAAACCCATTTAAAACCGACAGGTTTTACGCCTTTTGGCGTCTGGACAATTGGTCCAAAAACATTACGCTTTTCTAGCGATTTTAATTCTACCTGAATTGCTTCATTCCATTTTGGCCAATCATTTCTACGACGACATTCGTCAATAGATTTAGGCTCATTGTCATCGTGTTCATTCATTATATCTGTGGCGATGGCATATGAAAATATATCATCAGCATCAATATCATTTCTATTCCATTAGAAACGTAATTAATTGAAATTTACAAATTATCGACGTTTCTATCTTTATCTGGAATATTTACCTCTTCGAAGGTGATTGGATCCTCTTTTGAGGTATCATTATTGTTGATGCTATCTTCAAGGCCGATATTTTCAAAATTTTCATTTTCTTCTTGAGAAGGTTGAACTTCTTTGGCATCACAAACTACAACTTGCTGTTTAAATTTTCTTGGTTTCAAATCTCTTGAACCAAGTGGTCTACCACGTTTTTTACGTATCATAGATTCATTAGCAAGTGTTCTTTCGCTAATCTACGCATGAATTTCTATTCGAGAAGGAGCATTCATAGCTGGAACATGTGACTTTGTCACTTTCTTTGAGTCTGTGAAAGCATCAGGCAATTGGTTTGCAACATTTTGTAAATGAATAATCTTTTGAATTTCTTGTTCACAAGCATTTGTACGAGAATCAAGAAAAGATAAATTTGTTGCATTCCAATTAATATCTTTCGTACGTGGGTCCATTTCTTTAATATCTCCCCCTAAGGATGAGAATACTGTCTCATCAAAATGACAGTCATCGAACCGCGCGGTGAATAAGTCACCGGTCATAGGTTCTAGATAATTAATAATTGAGGGTGATTTAAAACCAACATAAATTCCCAGCCTTCATTGAGGACCCATTTTAGTACGATAAGGGGGAGATATTATATTCTCTCTATGTATATATGTAATGAATTTAAAAAAAAAACATTAAACCAATCCTTGAGATGGATAACTGAATAGCTCAATAGATCTCCATAAGATGTATGTATATTATGTACCGAGTATATATGAAGGCACTATGATATACGGAGTATATCAATATATGTGGTACTGGACTACTGGTGCTAGTAAAAATAAACAACCCATGACTCCAGAAAATTGTCAGTGCTTTATGAGTGTCTGGCCATTTAGATAAGACCGTTTATTTGTCCAGTTTGTTTATCTCACCCCTAAGTAGCAAATACATGCAATTTACACGAAACCTGGATATTTGTTGTGTCAACCCAACGCATAATATCATGACGTACAAAGAGATGTGGTAGTGTTAGCAGTGGCGGAGCCAGGATTTACATGTTATAGGGGCCGGGGCTTAAAGAATTTATATAGCAGAGGCCTAAACTTAAATTTTCACTATATTTTTACTACTTATAAATATTTATACATATATATATACATCACAATTTTTTTCTTGCAGGGGCCATGGCCCCCGCCAGCCACCCCCTGTCTCCACCCCTGAGTGTTAGTACACCCATGTGAAATACGGAGTAGTTGGTTTTATAGAGAGATATACTACGATGTACTCCGTATTTATTATATCAATTATGTAAGTGTCTTCTCAAAGGAAGAAGACAAGTAAAAATAAATGCTCTTATCTACTTGTATGGTCCGTGACTTACCAGCTAGTTTTATTTATACATCAATTCAATGAATTAGTTTGTATGATGATGTTCGAATATAAAGCAAACAACGTACTAATTTCCCCTCACCGTCTCTCCTTTTTTTTTACAGAGTACTTCATATCGAGTTCCCTTTTTTTATAGTCTATGAAGATATAAAAATACTCCCTCCGTCCCATAATTATCTTCATTCTTTCTTTTTTGGTCCGTCCCAAATTTATCTCCCTTTTCCCTTTTTAGCAAAGAATTTGTGGTTCACAACCATTCTTACACATTTCTCTCTCCTCTGCACACCTCTCCACCACACATTTCCCACTTTCTTAATCTCCGTGCCCAGTCAAAACCGAAGTTAATTCTGGGACGGAGGGAGTAGATTGTATTTATGCTACTATCAAATGTTGAAGAGAGGAAAAGAAAACTAATACTATCTACTACGTAGTATATTAGTTGATGGATTCATGAGATTGATGAGCTCATGCTCTTCTTATATTCATACGGATTTAGTTCATATGTATGTATTTAGTACAATATGTACGTTCATATTATCATATATACATGAAAATCTCTGATATATGCTGTCAAACATTCTTCCCAAGCAAAAGTTCAGATTTCAGAGCATATTTTATCTCAAGAACATATTAGTATAAAGGTATGTCTTTCTTCCTCTTCGGCCTCTTTTATATAAAATATAGCTATAATTTTCTGATATGGAGGATCCCAATTGTTGGGCTACCATAGAGCATACTTCTTATACTTCTTATAGTTTTGAATATATATAAACATGTTATACTTCTCAATCTCTGATTTTCTTTTCACATGAATTAATAAATTCCAGAAAGTATATACCTGCTGGGAAGATGATGATTTTGAAGATTTGGAGCAAATTCGTGCCGATAACGTGTTATAATATGGAAGGAAATAAGCAGAAGATCAAGGAGAGAAATATAGTATGAACACTTAGTGATAGATTATATTATTAAGAGTGTGATAATGGTGTTGTAATGGTGTGTTAATTACAATGGAGAAGCCTCCTATTTATAGGAGAAAAACTAAGCTTCATAGGATTAGAGGATAATTGTGAACCACACAATTATCATCTAGAATCATAATTATGATTTCCTGATTATTTATATAATGATGATAATAATTCCTAATCAGGAATAGTTGGAAGATGACTAATTCAATAATATTTCAACACTTATGTCATTATTGGTTCATTACTCCATATTTTTTGAGGCCCTTCCCCAACGTGAGGCCCTAGGCAATTGCCTGGGTCAACTCCCCTTATAGCCGGCACTCCCTGCTGGTAAAGTACATGTACATTAAACGAACTTTTGTATTTTTATAGATGTATGTATTTATATTTGTTAGGTGATTTATGTCTATATATCAAGTTTCTTATTCTTAATTCTAACAAGTAATGGTATTGTAAACTTACTTTTTGACGTTTGCAATAAATAAAAGGGAAAATGGAAAATAATAATCCAACCTTTTAGCGGTCTTCTTTCAATAATCCCACCTTTTGATTATTCATGAATAATCCAACCTTTGCACCTCATCTTCATTCACTGGTCCCTGACCGGTTGATGACCTGTTATTCCAAGCTATTTTCTTATCTTTGCAAATCATTATACCATAAATCTCATCTTTCACAAAGATAATATTTTGGAAAGATAAGAAAATAACTTGGAATAGTAGGTCATTAACTGACCAGGGACCAATGAATGAAGATGAGGTGCAAAGGTCGGATTATTCATGAATAATCAAAATGTGGAATTATTGAAAGAAGACCGCTAAAAGGTTGGATTATTAGTTTCCATTTTCCCTAAATAAAATTGAATGTATGAATTTTCCACACTATCATGGCAATTTCAAAGTCTTGCAATTTCGGCACCCCTCGAAAAAATGTCTGGTTCCGCCACTCTTTTGAGCAACCACTATTAAAAAGTGTGATCGTCCTATTGAATTTAATAATAAAAACAATAGTAATAATTAATAAATAATACTGGAGATAATAATATTAATCTTCCAATAGCAGCGTAGAGAATGAGCTAAATGATGACCTTTTATTGATTTAGAAATTTGTAAACCTACATAGATTTTCTTTTTTCATTTCAGTTAGTCGATTATATTCCTTGTGCTCATTTTAGTTCAGTTTTCAGTTCAATTTGTCTCATAGACTTTGTTTTGTGTTTGGTTTTTGGTTAAAATATCAGTCATAGTGTTAACTTTTATATTTTAAATCGTGAGAACTAGCTATTAGGGCTAAGTGGTCCGAATCATACCTTTTTCGGTCCCTAAAAATAGTGCACTACTCCTAAGTAAACAGAATATAATTTCTGCTAAAAACATTTAAAGTTCAAACCATTTGAACACCGGGTCATCATCATTATCATTACCCTGGTGTCACAAAGACTCTCACCTACAGTAGGGTAAGGGGGTCGAATGTACGCAGTCTTACCCCTGTACTAAAGCACAAAGAGACTGTTTCCGGTATTTGAACACCGGGTCACTGACTAATTTTATTTTCACTTGCACATTCAAGATTCTCAAAATTACATTAATGTCTACAATTTTGTTAATGAAGTTTAATATAATCTACCCATTTGAAGGAATGAATGCTAAGTTATTACTCCGTATTACTTTTGAACCATCCTTGGTTTGATATGTTTTGATATTAATTGGACTTTTCTATATTTGAACCGCTAATAGAATTGTGATAAAGTCTAGTATATTTTCTCAATATTTGAAGGAATGAGTATAAGTCATTATACTATGGCATATGTAGACTGACTAATCGATAGATGCATACTTCATTGACAGAAATAAATGAGTAAGAGACCACCGCCAGACCCGGTTTCAGTTCTTAGGGGCCACCGTGCTTCAGTAACAGATGTCAGTTTTCATCCGTCCAAAAGCATATTGTTCACTGGGTACGGACTAGCTAATTTGTTCTGAGAGCTGTTCTTTGTATATTTTATCTGTGGGATTGGAAATTACTTCGCCGTTTTATTTTATCTGTTTTTCAGGTCTGCTGATGGTGAATTGTTCATTTGGAATACTGTGAAGCATAGAGCAATATCATCTGCCTGGTAATGTTCTTCACTTCTTCTCCTATTCAGATCTCGCTTGTCTACAAATGTTTGGCAATACTGTTAGATGGTATCTTTGAAAGTTTGTGAGAACAAAGGGGTGAGGGTTAATGTGACTGACCTAGTGACTGACCTAGTTTGAAGGTAGCAAAGACAAACTACAATACAATTTTATTCATTACATGTTTGGAGATATATTATCTTCCATCCTGACTTCAATCTTGGAGTATTTCAAAAAACTGAAGTTCGATCAAGTTCATGATTGCCACTAATAAAGCTGGATGGTATGCAGGGTATATAGTGCCCCCCATGGGATAACCTGCGTTGCATCTAGTTCTCTCATCGGAGAAAACAAAGTTATCAGGTTAGCTGTTATGATTTTAATGCTTATTGATGAGTGATGCTTCCGGAAGTGCTGGACATTTTTCATAGTTTACTGCCTCTATTAATTTTCTTTTGGGATATTACTACTTTTTGCAGCCAAAGCAGGGATGGAACTGTAAAATGCTGGGAGTTTGGAGATGGAGGCTTGTCAAGGTACTTGGTTTTCAATAATGATCGAATATACACATCATGGAGTCTGCATGATCAGTTTGTGCATTCATTATTTCCTACCGTACTGATAGGTAACTAGCTAGTTTCACAGTGAATTCAAGAATCAAAGATAAAGAAATTGGCGTAACAACTGAAAGTGCAGTATAACAGAAAATAGAGAGAGAGAGAGAGAGAGAGAGAGAGAGAAATACAAAGGCAGTTAAAGAGTGCCAACTCTCCAAGTCCCAAGCCCAAATGATATTTCCAGCCTGCCTCTATTCTACTCTCAGCATCTATTTATACTAACTCTTTTAATATTATTATTGTTCTCATTATTTTTATCAGTGCTAATCTGCCCATGTCCTATTATATTCCCCCCCTTAAGCAACCACCTTGTCCTCAAGGTGGGTGATAGGAATCAGCCTTGACCTTCACCTTCACCTTCATACTTGTGCCTCATCCTTCCCAATATCTCACTGAATTCTGAACCTGTAGTACTTGAACCTTCATTTTCATGTTCTTCACTGCACATAGGAGCAGAAACAAAGTCCTGGTGGCAGAATGCTCCCTGTGCTACATATGAACTCTTCAAATAAACCGTTAACCCATTGAAGAAGCACAACATCACCTATTGACTCTCCATCTTGTTTTGGACTTGATGCTCCGATTGGTTTTGCAAGAATCAATGATAGGTACTCATCAATTTCCATCTTAATCTACTTCAATTTACTGTCAAATTCCTGAGTAGCTATCAATCAAGCAAGTAAGCGACTTTATCAAATCCAGATTTTGTGAGGAATAATAAGCCAGAACTCAAGGAGACAAAGGATACTTAATTAATTCATCACCAGATCTTCCAGTAGGTTTGTTGAGAATCATCATGTAATCACAGTTTGTAGCCTTGATCCATTTACTAGCACTAATAGCCATATGAAACCAGCAGTCAAAACCTTCCCAGTATCTCCCTGGCTGTTTATCAATTCTCAGCCATTTTTCCTCCTCGTTTTCATTGCTTGGACCATCACATTTTGATCTGTTTCTTCCAGATCAACCTCTTCCCCGAGCTTGGTCGATGCCATTGAAACTCTTGAAATACCTTAATCGCCGTCCACTAGCACATAGCAGTATACACTCACATGGTATGCATTCTCGTCATGCCACTACCCAGAGTTATTAGATGTAGCATTTCCTTTACGAAAACAGGACCAAGAACTCAGGCCAGAAGACAAAGCATTTGGATTCAGCCTCAAGACAACATGAGTAAAAATCTTCATCAGGTCGTCATGAGAAAGTGTTGTTGACACCAGTAGGTCCTGGTAGATAATCAACGAATTGCAATTCGTGTTCTCAACACCAGATTCCAACACCCAGATGCTTGAATGAACTTCAAGAACAACCTCTCTCCCAATAGTCAACATATTTAAGGAGCCAAAATCATTCAATCTTTGTTGCTGATGCTGGAGGCTGGAAGAATCAAGATAGAATTTAACAATTTCCATGCAAGTGCCACTCATACATAAAAGGGACCCAGCAGCTGGACTTCTAACTACAGAACAGGAAATTGTCAAAGCGGGATCATCCGACAAGAATAACATTTTCATGTGTGTGATCATCAAGAATGGGGAATAGAGTTTCTCATAGCAGTGGAAGGCAAGCACAATAGCCATATGATGATAGTCCAAACCTACCCTTCCCTCTTGAACAGGTTTACCTACTACTGGGCCACTGGCATTCCTCTAACATTTTCACCTTCGTTTACTGCATCTGTGAAGAGACCAGAAATAAGATCATTGACAAGCATCAGAAACACGTCAGCGTTAACATCAGTAGCATAACCAACATTTTCTTAAAATTCCCAATAAATCGTACTCCCAACTCCTTTTGAATACACTTCATAGAAGTAACAACATCAAATTTGAAACAATCAATCTTATTCAGCCCTTCCAAACTAGTAATTGGTAAACAATGATCTGGTTCAAGTATTTCTGAACCTTCCATATAGTCTGATGAAAATCTCATATGTTGATTAACATCCTCTTCAGGGTCTGATTTCGTAACTGATGGGGCCACCGGGTTCAATTCTGTGTTCATTGTTGTTGGTAGGCCTGGGACTTAGAACCTTAAAACCGGGAAAACCGATCCGAACCGAACCGAATTTTCCGGTTCGGTTCGGTTCCTATGATTTTGGACTTGATCTTTTTTCGGTTTGGTTCCTATAGTATTTGATCCGTTCGGTTCCGATTTGTAGACAGAAACCGAACTTCTTATACATTGCATGCATAATCTTTATTTGAGGTGCTTCTAGGTGTAATTTTTTGATGAAATTTTGTGAGCTTGTTTTTCATGAAGTGTAGATTATGTCCACCAATTGTGAGCTTAAAATTCAATCGAAAGTCAGTTAAATAAATTATTGAAAAATACTACGTCAAAATATATGTAAAAACACAATGTTTTTCAATATTTTATTTAACTCACTTCCCGGTTGAATTTTAAGTTGTAATTTAGTGAGTATAA